CTATCCCGAGCACCATGAGGGAAAGGGCAACACGACAGTTGCCTGCATCACTTCTTGACGAAAACGCGCAGGACCTCAGTTCGTGGTACATCTCGACAAAAGCACATGACTGAGAGCGATCAGTCTTTTATGTTAGATACCCAAAGCTCTCTGCAAGTAGCTTGCCGGAAAGGGCATGGCTTGCATGTAGGGCGAAGGAGACTCTTCTCTTTTCCACTTGCGCAACTGGTGACGAGCCTCATGGAAGAAACGCAAGTGATGCTTCCAATTGGCAGATCTGTCCCAATTTGCGCCCCACGCGAGTGCCCCCTTGTGGGTTCTGGCGCATTGCTAATGCTGAAACTTCTGGCTGACCAGGTCAAAGGGAAGCATCCGATGATGCAGCTCCTGGCGGTCTGGCTCCCAGTCGCCACTTGTGATTCATTTGGCTGCAGCCCTGATGAAATGCACGGTTCTCAGCGAGAATGTAGTAAGAGAAGGCTCCGCGAGGGAAGTCAGTATCGCGACAGGAGCGAAGTGGATTCAGCATCCCTGCCCCAAGATGCAACAAGCCCGCGAACACGACAGGGAAAAACAGCACGCAAATGACCTCTACGGCAGCAGTAACGTACGTCTGACGGCTAAGCGCCCGTGCAATGACGACGACAGATGTAATTCCTTGCAGAACGTTGTGCATCGCAACCACAATGTACAGGCCGTGCATGTAACGAAGAGGAACCTGCGTGTCGACATATGCCAATGTTGCACCCAAACCTCCTCGTGCCTGACAGCAAAGCCGTTGAAGCTCAGGCATCGTAGTGACGGGAAAAGGCAAGCAGCTGCCACCCTGGTCCACCGGGCCTTGTGCCAAATGCGCGATGTATGAAGTGGCCCAGGCCCAGACCACTTGACCCTTGGAGGGCAGGGGAGCCAGGACCTTGCGCTCCTCCTCCTCCAGGAGCCCGCACTGCAAGAGATCACTCAGATCCTCATCCTGCATGGCCTGCTTGTACATCAGCTCGTGTGACAAAACAGCCCATCGGAGCATCCGCTCACGGACAAGGGTGTCCTCAGGCGAGTCACTTGGAAAGTAGCTTGTCAGAAGTAAGGTGAGGTCGTTGATAGCACCCCAAAGTCGTCCGATGCAGTCGTTGCGCATGGCCCACCATCGGTTGATGCAGGCGGCCAAGAAAAAGCCCAAAAGGAACACCTTGCATGCACTTCATGGACCTTCAATGCTTCACGGGTTCCAAGGTCTCACCCAAACCCAGGACTGGCTATCCTTGAAAGGGAACGAAACATGGAGTCCCGGCGGTCATCTGAAACAAGAACTATAACACGAGGTCTGATGTAACTTCGGGGCGCGGTCACGGTACGTACCGAATGCGTCATGTTCACGAAGAGGTCCCTGGTCGCCTCCGAGAAGGCAGGCCTGCCGGCCCCGGTGAAGTGATAAATCAGCAGAGCGAAGGCACAGCTGGACACCGCGTACCACCATGTCCTGGACACACGAACAACACTACACGATCGAAAGGACTGCTGACATTTGCTGGCTTTCTCTCAGGAGGTAGGGTTCTAGCGAACTGAGAAGACGGATTTGGGTCCGGAGTCTGGCATGGTCTGGCCATCGCCAACTGAGGCTCCCACCGACTGCGCCTTCTCAGGAAGGAGGCGGTGGTGCTCACCGCAGCAAGGATACCAGTCGTCATGAGGCTGTCGTCATCCCTGTACTTCAAGACTTGCGTGTCAAAGTAAGTGACCAACTTGTTCGGTCTCAGCCTCTTTTGGAAGTCAGCCTCCGACAACGGCACTGACGGGGCAGCGATCTTCCGGTGTCGTGGAGGGAAGCCGGAGGTACCAAAGGCGAGAGGTCGAAGGAACGCACGGGAACTCGCCATCGCCGGAGTCGGGGCCGAGACCATGGGCCACATGGCGTCTTCCAAGGCTGGAGGCTCCTCCACTCGCACCTACGGCTTCTGCCTCTCTGCCTCTGCCAGAAGCCAAAAACGACAGCCAAAGTTTCCCGAAAGGCTCGAGCTTCTCGGCTGAAACTCGGCCGTCAAACGCCCACAGAGTAGTCTGTGTCTCTCTGCCTGCCTACGGAGCCTGACCTGCACACCCGTCTCGATCTATGCTTGTTGTTGGTCATTGGTGCATCCCCGGACACGGTATAGGATACATGCCGTCCACCGGTCACAATGCAGTTGAGGCTTTTTCTGCAGTGTGCATCCCAGCTTCCTTGAAGCGGGCTCGAGCTCTCGAGTCTCCTCTAGCATTCTAGGATACGCGCAATAGGGCTCTGCAGACTTGGGCTTCCGGGTGAGACTTAAACCCAAACCGCTTTGAACGGCGCGGCCGACAACCTGAGGCCCCGTCCGCCGCGGCGGCGCAGAGCGTGGCGGCGCCCGCGCCAAATGCCAGGGCGAGGACCTCCGGGAAGTTCCGATTCTTGGGATTCTCCCGACAGGGTTTGGGGTGCTTCTGATCATACTGATGAGGAAGATGATGAGGGAAAGTGCGATCATCGTCCCTGACGATCATCATGAAGCATGATGGTTGTCGCCACAGTGGTCATGATGGTTCTGATGATGGCGGTGATGATGATGATGATGATGATGAGGATGATGAGGATGAGGCTGAGGATGAGGATGATGATGATGACGACGATGACGATGGCGACGATGATATAATGGTCATGATGTGATGACGATGACGATGACGACGATGATCATGATCATCAGGATGATGGGGGCGTGATGGTTGTGAGAATGATGATGACTAGGACATTGTGATGATTGTGATGATGATGGTGATGATGATGATGATAATGATTGTGAAGGGGTGAGGGTGAGGGTGGCGGTGGTGGAGGAGGAGGACGTCTCAAAGGAATAAGTTGACGGTGTCGATGTACTTCATACAGGAATACCAGACTCTGCAGATAAGAGTATAGAAGGTTTCTGTGCTCGGCATCTGTCAGGGGAAGCTTGGGAGTCAAAATATTTGCTGCTCTGGGCCAGCTGAGTCTATGGCTGCAAACAGGTTGCGACTGCTTGTAAGCCTGCACTAAAGACTTGTTCCATGATCACAGGCTTTCACACCAGACGTTACTTGCCGTGGCCATCGCCAAACGAATAGCAATAACGTCTCACAACTGCTTCGGCGACTGCGCAGTGGTTGAGTCAGATGTGACATACCGTGCACTTGACGAGGAAACACGTGCTGATGACCTGTGCTTTACAGAAACCAGAACACGCTCACAGCACCGAAGGGCACTCCTCCCCTGAACAATTTGCTCAGCGAAACCGACAAACCCTCGCAGGCCTAGACCTGAAGCCCTGAACCGGACCGACCATCCAAGAGCTTCGGGCCTTGTTCCTGCCCTTCTCCATGCTCTGCGTTCTTAACTTCAGCTCCTGCCAGGGTCCACTTCGAGGCAAAGGCGAGGGAGGAAGCACTCCGGGGGCCGTGCCTCATGCTCTACAGACTCTACCAAGGAAGGTCCAGGAGTCCAGGGGTCTGCTGGGCTTTCACATGGCCTCGAACTTCTTCTCCAGCTCCGATCCATCTAGGAGATCAGCCTCGGCAGCTCCAGTGGCGCGTGGGACTGCCATAGCACGAGACCAAAGCCCCAAAGCCACAAAACGCGCTCTCTCGCGGTGGCTGCACTTTGGCTTTGCGTCCCTGCGCCTCGCCCTCCTATAAATCTATGCTGCAGTCAAGAGGTTGGAAAATTCCGTAGTGGCATTTGAAACGCTCCGGAGCGCGAAGCCCCACATCACATCTGAGTGGCGTCCGCGACATTTCTTGGCCGCCGGGCATGCTCGAGCGGCAGGGAGGAGAAGCTATCCATGGACGAGTAGCCCTGATTCGAAGCACTTGCGCAGCAGGAGCTGATCAGGCTCTCTTTAGAACGACATCTTGAACATCTTGTACCCAAAGGCCCTGCAAAGTGCGCGAGGAGGGTTCGGGTTCGGGATACTTGTGAAAGATTCGCGTTGTGGGCGCAAGCAACATCTCTCTTCACTTCGTTTGGGGGCTTAGGAGACGTGTCAGGTCTCCCGGCCGATTGGCCCACCACTGTGTGAGGGGCTTGTTGGGGAGATGTGAAGTCAAAAAGATATGATCTAAATCCCTTTCCGCCCTCTCACTCGGCAATCTCTCTCTCTCTCTCTCTCGCTCTCTCTCTGGGTGATTGTGCGCTGCCCCTCATCTTGCAGCGCTCTCCTTCGTCGCTCCATCCAGGTAGGATGTCCGGGCAGAGTCGGACGCTCCATCGGAGTAGGACACGCTGTCCGCGTCGGACCCGCCAGCGACGTAGGGAGTTCCATCTGCATAGGACGACCCGTCCACGTAGGGAGCGCCATCCTGGTTGTGTTGGCGCAGGTGTTCACCAAGACATTACGACAGAAAGTTTGGGTCGGCCAAAGCTGGTGAATTGAAGGAACAAGTGCAGAATCCATCTTGAGGAAAGGGCCCTGGCCACGATGTATTGCAGAGGACAATACGAGACTGTAGGGGCTCACTAGAATTTGTGCGGCAAGCTTCGACGTATACCAATACCGCCGAGCATCGTCGTAGGTCCCCAAGTCTACGGGAAGGTCGGAGACGTCGGAGACGTGGGACAGGTCCGAGTAAGAGTCCGAACCTCGGGGCTCTCCCCCACTTCTCTCTCGAAGGAGTCTACAGAGCCTCACGGTCGCCAGGCCCTCAAAACAGATTCCTGGTGGTGTTAAGAAGTGGAAACTGACAGCTTCGACCGCAAGGAGAAACTCCAGCTGCACGCATCTGAGCATCCCCAATGAGTGCCGGCTGAATGCTTCACCGATTCAATTCGGGATCCCTGGCCTAGTTCTGATTTATCCCTCGCCAGAGTTGCCTCGGGTGAAGTCCAAGCGGCCCAGACCGTCATCGCTGCCGGGTGCCTCTGGTGCAGATCCCAAAAAATATGCAGCTCGGGGGTCCCGGAACGATTCCTGGGCCTGGTAGGATGATGGCTTGCGTAAACCTGCGTTTTTATGTGGGTCCACGCAATGTGCAGCCAAGTTTGGGGCCGTAAGTTCACCCTTGCTAGGGGATCTTGGGACCTTCTTCCGTACACTCTGCCGGCCATGCTGCATGATGTATGGATGTGCACGGTTGAGGCATGTGAGAAGGAGCCAGGAGGAACAGGAACAGGTGTCAACGACTTGGGGTTTGAAGTTGTGGTGTCCGTAGTCCGTAGCTCATGAAATCTCGTGGCCGCGGAACGGCGAAGCACTGGAATGCTACTAACAATTGCTCGTCCCTGCGGCCCTAAGGACCCCAAATCATTCGACACACCTTTTCACTCAGGCTCGAAACCTTTGAAAGCAGCCCTCAAAATCTTGAAAACAAGAACTCCAACATCCCTCTGCTTTCAGTGCGGCGCCTGGGTGGTCGGATGCAGCCGCCTCGTACGGGACTGCTGGCCTGCGCCGCAGGTCGCCGTGCACCTGAGGTTTCGGTCGCTGTCTTGGGGAAGGAGCCCTTAAGCCTTTGGAGGCTTCAGGGCTCAGCACCAAGCTTGGGGAATTCTGTGATTCGGATTCAAGGTGTTCAGAACTGTTGCCGAGGTCTCTCAGCCCGCAACCCCAACTTCCTGCAATGGCAGGGTTGACAACACCACGAGCTCAGCATGCTTCTGCAAGTAGCGGGCTTCTTGATGGAGCCAAAGTGGGCATGCACAAAGCTAACAAGCTGGCAAGGATGCCCACTCAAGCTACTTTCCATACTCCTGCGAGGCAAGGAATTATTCGTTAAAGTCATAACCAAGTGCTTCGAATCCACCCAAAAAACTGGCTGAATGCCATGAACCCTCGCTCTTCTTAGATATCTTCAAGCCCCTGTACGAGAAGCCGAGGCCGCCACGGGCCGTATTCAGACCAGCTTTCCCAGATGCAGTACGTCTTGTCCGTACCTCAGCCACGGTCTCAGGGTTGTGGTCCAGGATAGCCTGGCAACTAGAACCACCAGCCACTACAGTCACTACAGTATGCCTTCCGGCTTCGAGGAGCTATAGCTGATGTTGGGCACCCATGCTTCAACGCCTATCCGAATGGAGCTATTGAGGCGCTGCTTGGAGCAGGCACGCGCAGTTGGGGGAGTTAAAGGCTCAAGGTCTGAGCTCCAAGCTGAGCGTGCAGTGGAGCTTCGATTGGGCACTGAGCCCCCCCAAACACCACTGCAGTAGAGTGCAAGTACTGCATGCCTTGCCCAAAAAGGGCCCAATGGATTGAATGCCCTGCCTAAACTCGCGAAATCTCAAGGCCTGGCTCCTGACACTTCGCTAAGACAGCGCCTCTCCCACTGGGGCATCGGCACGTCCGCGGGCATTTTGCTACTTCCACGGCGTTGCCGTGATGGCAAGCCTGGCCGTCAGGTTTTCGCTTGAGGGTCCCCTACTTGCTAGACACCCTTTTCTGTCTAGGTCGGCTCTCACGCGGAACGGAATCTGAAATAAAGTCTTCAGGATGCGGATTTGCAAAGAATAAATAGGGCTGTGACTTTGGGCTTGGTGACAGCAGCACAATCAAAATTCGGACTTGTGGGTTCAGGCTCCCACAGGCCGGCAGAAGTGAATTCCAGAACGCTCAGGAACTTGAAGGCTGGTTCGAGTTGTCTGAGAAGCTCAAACAAGCCTGGCTGAAGCACTGATTCTGAGCACCATTGAAAGTTTTAAGGAAAAGAACCACTCCAGGCTTGCGCGCCTGCCCACCACAGGCGGGATGCTGGGAGATATGTCGGACTCGCTGGCGTTCGCCACCACACCTGCGAAAGATCGATCCCTGAAACAATCGTCATCCCTGATCACCATTTTAACGGACACATATAGACAAACAACCACTTTCAATCTCGGAACATCCTGCTGATCCACGCCCACTCACCCCCAAATTCGATAAAAAAAAACCTCGGTCGGGAATCAATACCTCTGACAAAAAGGCACGCGGACGGACAAGAGATGCTCTAGAACTGCTTTATACGCAGTTGTGCCGCTCCATCGCGAGATCTGTACCCAAATTATACCCCCAACCCCTGAAGCCTATAGATCCTGTACCAAAGCTCCGTCCCCGCATCCTCAATGTGCTCAGGAATGCTAAGTCCGCAAGCACCGAAGCACAAGAACCGCAAGTTGCAACAAAGGCAGCATCCGCTCCAAGCGGCTGATTGCAAGCCCCCCAGTGGCTCCAGTCCTGAGAGCGCTGCATTTTTCCCCCTTTTGACTGCCTTTTGCTGCTACAGTCTTAGTCTCTTGTCTTTGGTGTGATGGAAGCAACGACAGGTCTTCAAGGTCCCAGCGCAAGAGCTTCGGAAGCACTTGCCTCCAACCCTCAAGTCCACCGGAGCCTGAGCCCTAAATCGAGACTCCGTCCGACTCTTCCACGTACTATTTAAGCATTCTCTGGCACAAGCCCGGGGCCCCGACAGTCCAAAGGCAGTCGGTCGGAATGCATTCGTCGTGGCAGGGCTGAAGCGGCAGACGCAAGTGGAGTTGGGACTATGGCAATGGTGCCAATAATGAGTACGGTGAAGATGAGCATCACGGTCATATTATCACGGTCAGGTCCACGATGCTGATCTTGATGTTGCTTTGGTTGGTGGTGCTGGTGCTAGTGATGACGATGATGACGATAGTTTTTACCGAGCGCTGCCCTGCCTTATCCTGGCTCAGCTGCAAGTTTCCGACTACATGGCGTTAGCACAACTTCGTGATCCAAACGCCTGGAAACTCGTTCAGCTGCAGACTTGTGTGCAAACGTCAAGCCTGGTTGGCGCACTGCCGTGTGATGGACCTTTGCTGCAGCTGCACTTCATGGAGATCCGAAATCCAGAGGAGAAGCTGATGTCGAAACACGATGCCGAGAAGCCAGCAACCCTTCCGCTCTCAACTGTTGCAGACGCAATTCTCTACATAGACCAAAGCTCATTTCCCTTTCATGTAAGCTGACATACGTAGAGACGTAGAGATTGTAGGATGTCTTGGCCACCGGCAGTGCTGCAGAGCAACCAAAGCCGCCCTTCGACGGTGGCCTGGAGGACATGTATGTCAGGGAAAGAGGACGGATGTCGGACCTGCTCGAGCTTTTCTCGGAGTAGGCGGTTCCGGAGACTCAAGCAAGTTCATGGTTGCCTGGAGCTGGAGTCTCTCATTTGCAATCTTGATCAATCTTGGGTACCATCGTGGGGTGCACCGATTCTTGCGGCCTGCCGCATGGTGGGACAGAGCGAAGCCGAAGATCCGAGGTCTCAATTAGCATGGGGGCTTGACCCGCTCCAAGATTCCGAGGGTCATGGCGAAGGATGACACCTGCCGCCGCCAGCCCTCGCCTTATCCGAGGTTTAGCTTATCCCGAAAGGCTTCGAGACGAGGCGCTGAATGATCGTCCGCTCCTTCACCTGCTGTCCGGTGCCACACCTGGGCTGCATACAGGGCCCACATGGGGCCCGCTTCCAGTCCTGTGCACTTGTCCTTTCAATGGAGCGTATTCGAGCTGGACTAAGGTGATGTCACCTGAACTTTAGACAAGGGTGCAGAACAATACCAGAGGGGTGCGTAACATTCTACCACGCACGTGACCATGCAATCATTCGGCTCCTGGGACATATAGGACCACAGGATACACATTCTCGGCTCTCCGTTCCCAAGTGCAACCCAAGCGCGAAGCGTCGCACGAGCCCCACTCGCTCCAGTCAGAGAGGATGCAATCCACCGCGGGCTTGTTGTAGAGGTGGCACGGATCCACCTCCGAAGACACAAGAGGCTCAAGGGGCTTGCAAACGGGACTCACAAAGGCTGACGGACCAGGGTCTCGGAGGTCTGTTGCAGAAACCTGCGGCAGTTCTACCCGTGCCTCGCAGCAGCTGCCTGTACCAAAGCAGCCCTGGCTTCGATTTCAGCTGACGGTTGGGGGGGGGTCGTGGGGGATTGCTTCATGTCTTGGCCTTCTTTGCTACGGGCTTGTTGACGCTGACATCGTCTCGCACGCACTTTTCGTATTCCGGCAGATGTCCCTCTAGGGCCCTAGGGCAAAGCCCGAAGAGCTCGAGCCCTGAATCTCTAGCCTCTGTCCTGGAAACACGAAGCCCCCAATGGGCGTAGATGCAGTCGGAACCTGGCCTTCATGGAGAAGAGGAAACGCCGGCAGGTCTCTCCTCCCGACTCTTCGACCTGGCTGCGATTCTTTCGGCCCTTTTGCCTTCCTTGGGGCCAATAGACCCGGCCTTGAGTCGAACTTCCACCGAGGACGCCTGGTGACTACTTGGGGATGCGATGGGGTTGCCTAGGGCAAATGTTCATTTCGTGGTGATTTCTGGCTGTCGGAGGTGTATTGAAGTGGCTCTGGCGTCGTTTGACCATCGGGACCTTCAGGACAAAAACTTTTGCGACCTGTCCTCTAAACATTCAGCAAGGCTGAACAGGAGGAGCGAGCTGCGCTCTCCGATAGCACAATAGGGCTCTAGCCTCACCGACTGCTCTTCGTTTGTGTTAAGGACTTTGGCGGTACATCGCCCAGAATGTACACTGTACAGACAGCGAATTCTCACTTGTCACCTTTGGCTGCGGTCACTTCGCCTGCCTGCTGCCTACGGAGTCCGTGCATGTCCAAGCAAACTGTGGCTACCTTCAGGCAGCAGATCAACATCCTGCACGTCCTGATCTTCACAACCCGTTGTGTAAAGCACTGGAGTGGAGCCGGGTGCAAACGTGACAACCAATCTCATCCGGCCTCGATAAAGAGAAGCGACACCGCCCTGTGCAGGCACGGTGCTTTGGGCTTGGCTGGACTTCGCAGGCTCGGTCGCCAACGTGATTCACCAAGCAGCTCAAAAATTGACTTGATCACCGAAATTCCATCAAAAACCGAACCTGCTATCATCGTCGTCGTCGGCAGTGGTCGGCGACTGGCATTCCAAGGAGGCCAGTGCTTGCTCTGGGAGAACACTGAACGCGACATCGAGCACAACATTGACATGAGGTCCCGGTGCGGCCCCAAGCTGTAAGCTTGCAAGCTGCACTATAGTATGTAGCAGATCACGTGGGTGTGTGTGTGTGTGTGGCAGAGCACAGTCTGATCTTGGATCAAGCAGGATCACCATTACTGCGAAGAAAACAACAATGAGAAAGAGTAGGGGGAGATACCAGGAAAGATTTTGCCGACCGGAACCCTGCAACTGCCAAGCCCTGACTGGAGTTCGATGAAGGCTGCCGGCGTGACATCAGGCAGCTTCAGGGAATCGGGACCTTGCAAGGGCTCTATCTGAAGTAAGCCCTAGATCGCCGCCTTGACTGAATTCGAAGCATGCTCCCGCTCTCAGCAACAGAACTCAAATACGCAATTGGTCCCAGTGTGCGAAGGTTGCAAACAAATCAACTCGCTAATGAGCCTGAGCACTGCCGTCAAAATTTGCAGACTCCAAGCATGCAAGGACAAAAGAAAAGAATTGGGCGAGCGACACATTTGAAGTACTGACAAACGGAAAACAAAGGTTTCTGTCGGGTTGCCAGAATCGCCGGCCGCGAAGGTTCCGCCACCCTCGCCGGCAGCTACCTTGAGAAGGGGCCAGAGATGCGTGCTGGTTGGGTTGGCAAATAACTACTAAGATCGAGTTGCATACATACGGCTTGCAAATATCAACAGTCTTGCGCGTTCACTGTTGATTGTTCCTGCAGCCCCTGGTGCCAGAGTTCGATGTTGTTGCGGGCCTGCAAGTGCCAACGCCCCAAGCTCCTGACGGCGATCGTGGAATGCTGGCTCAAGAAGTAGTCCTGCAGTGGGATGCTTTGGCTGCAACTCGACGTGTTATTCTCATCAAGCCATTTCGGAATCAAAGCCCAAACAGGCTACAGAAGCAACTCCTGCCACACAGGCAGGCTTATTCTCAGCTTATCTTCTGGGCATTCTGGGTCATGCACAATTAATCTTCGTGGACTGCGATGAAATTGCTGTGGACCAAAGTCGACCTCGGGGTGTTGGCCCTGAGCCCTGAAGCAGAGCTTCCTCGTAGCCGGTGGCGAAGATCGACATTCCTGCCTCACTAGCGGCACCCACAGTTAAGCCTCGGTCAGGGAGCTCCGAGCGCGAGAGCAACTGGACGGTCTCCATTTGTTGTTCATGCTGTCCACTGTCACAGGCATTACACAATCCAGCAGCGCCAAATAGAGAACGACATCCACCATTGGACAAAACCCCAGCCCATAAGCTTCAAAGCACAACCGAAGCCCGACTGCAAAGGGCACGCCTGTGCACTGGGAGTCTTAGAGTCTTGGCTGAGGGAGCGGAGCAATGATACCGACACAGCGAGGTTTGCTTGGACTGGGCTCACGGCCATAGAACTTCAGCATGAGCTTCGGGGCATGCACCTGGACAGCGTTCTGAAAAGTCCATCGTTCTCATGAGCTGGGTCCTGCTTCATGCAAAGAAAATCAAGCCCGGCATCCTACAACGTGACCAAAGCTTAAACCCAATCTGCCATCTATCTATCTATCTATCTATCTATCTGTGTATGTATATGTATATATATATGTATGTATATATATATACACATGATACATACACATGTATGTAATTTAACCCTAAAACTCAAAACCCGCACGCCAACCGGAACCCTAAACACCCTCACAGAACATGGGCTCGGAGGCGGCACTGCGATTTCACCCTGTAGATTCAGAGTGGGGAAGTGCCGACAGAAACCTGCCAGCTTAGCTCAACAGAGAAGTGTGATACTTGCTGCCCATGCTGCACCAACGCCTTCAATGAACCCACGCAGGACGAAAAAAAGAAAAAGACACACACACACACACAGACAGGCACCACAGCCGCTGCTCCCAAGCCCCTCAGCCACTGAAGCGCACAGTTGGTTACATGAACTGAGGGCTTGGCGAGCTCATGCGTCACCGGATCCACCAAGGAGAACTTGAAGTTCACTGCCGAGCCCTGGGTCCACAGTCCTAGCTACTTCCATCTTCCGTCCCTTCCACTTCGTCGACTTACGCCCTGCCTGACAAACCCAAGGGCCGATGCGTTGCCCTTCTGTATTCAACCTGCTGCCTGCTTCTGTCTGACGCTTGCGAGGCGAACAGCCATTCTCCGAAGTGAGAGCAGCTTTCTCCACTTGCCCCTCATGCCAAATGCTGTGGGTTTCCTCATATCGCCCTCCACGAGCACTGGAGCACTGATCCGGGTCCCTGGCTCCCGCGACGTTGATCTCGCCGAAGCCACTGCCCTCATAGCTCTTCTCGTCGGTAATGCAGGTCTGGCGACGGCAGGAGGCATGTATGGAACCGTCTACCACCAAATGACATGTACCAGCTTGGCTCGCCAGCACATGCCTGCACAGCGTTGCGGAATCGTGTTGGTCGGGGATTCATCAGTACACAGGTATCACTCTGTACCCCACTCCCTGCAACTTGACTATTAACAGCAGAACTTCTGCTGCCAGTACCCACCTGACGAGACTGCGTCGGTGCCACAAGGCGGCAGTCACAGACGCAGGCCGCAAGCCCCATCTAAACGAAGCTCCCGTGAGAAACAAACTCCCGAAGCCCCGAGAACCGTCATCCTGCCTGGTATGGGGAAGCGGGCGACACTTCCAAATCGACCCACCTGAAGGCGAGCGCTTTGGGCCCAGAGGTCAGGCCAGGGGTCGGCTCTGGCCCTGGCGGGACCAGTCAACCCTCGCTTCGTTTGGCTCCGATAGGACCACAAAACCCCTCCAGGCCACGCAGAGTGAAGTTTAGGAGTGGTGCGTGACCGATCGTTGAAGGCTGAGGGTCTGAAGGCATGGAACGCATCAACGAATCTGGTGCCCCTGCATCACCGCCCGGAACCTCACATCCTGTGTGTCCCTTTGCTAGAGCTACAAAGCACGCGAGTCCAAAACGATGGCTTGGGTACGGGGTGCTTGCTTGGGAACCCAAGTCAGAATCTCCCTCAAACCAGAAGAACCCGGAGCCATAAACCTCGGGCATCCTCGGGCCCCCGCTTCCCAGGGCAGTTGTCGGACGGGAACGGGCAGCTAGCCGTCGGCAACTGACGCGAGGCGAGGTGCTGGGTCGACGCTCGAGTTTAGGGGCCGGGGGTACTGTGGGATACTCGCAGTCCTAGCGGCAGCTTGGCGTCAGCATTAACAACTTCCCAAACTGCTTTTGTTTGCGCCTTCTCTGCAAGTGGAGCTCTTTTGGCATCATCAGGCTTCGCCAATTTCCGGCGAGTCTGCTGGATAAGACATGGCTGCCCTCAAAAGGTGTGAGTCAAGCAAACACACAATGAATTAGCCTGCGATTGTGGTGACCTCCCTGTTGAATGCTTGTCTATCTTCGTACTAGATGGCAGCAGCCTTCGCATGCCTTCGCTGGTAGTGCAGGACTTGTCGATTTCAGATCTTCACACTGACCTAGCGCAAGGCAGGGTTGAAGTCTCCGCGGATCTGGTGCTCGATGCTGCAGTGGTAAGCCTAGGCAGCTCCAGCGGCGTTGCTTGAAAAACAACCCCCCCATGGCAGCCTTTAACGAAATCGCCAGGAGACCAGCTCGATGATGGTACCAGATCCCCCGCAAGCGCCGGGCCATGCAATCACGCTGGCATGTGTGAGGCCGCCTGCTCGGAAGAAAGCAGTGCCTACAGAATTGGACACTTCAGAGACTTGCCCCAAGGCCGTGCGATATCGAAGTTACAGTTGCGGCTGTTCCGTGCCTCCTCCCATCGCCACAGAGAACACACGGGGCCAGCCACTGACGAAGATGGCTTTGCCGTGGCATGGCAGACCTGCGTCTGCAAATCAGCGAGACGAGACTTCGACCCCTGCGACCTGGAAACAAAGGACAAAAACACATAGCCGGGCACGGAGGCGGATCTCGAAACTGTTTGCCTTATCCACAGGAGCTTTTGCAAGGCACTGCCTGCTGCAAGCTCAAACCAGAGATCCTTTAGGTGGCCCTGAGGACCGAACCAAATTGAAGCTTGAGAGTAAGCTTCGTCCAGCTTCAAACATCCCCAGGACCCACTTGCAAAGTTGCTAACTGGCGTCATTACAAATTTGGTCTGTAAGTTGGTAACCTCAGCTTAAGCATTCCTGCTTCAAAGCCCCCGAAGCCTCCACCGTGCCATCCACCACTGCCGCAGACCCTCTTCTCGAGGCGATGCTTCAGGCTTGCGCCGTATCCCTTGCAAAGGCTGGATCTAGGTTTACAGGGTCTAGTGCTCGGAGATCCAATGCAGGTTAGGGGGGTTGAGCTTTGGAGTTTCAAGGCGGGCCAAGACAAACTTCCGGTGATCTTGCGAAGCAGCACGTCAGTGGAAGACAACCGGACCCACAGACTAAGTGACCGCACACCAGTCGGATCTTCAAGCGAAGCAAACAGACTTGGAGGGTAAATATCTAGTGAATCTAGTGCGGTCTTTCAATTTTGCCAGGTCGGCAACAGGCGGAAGGGATGACTAGCACAGCTTGGACTGATGTGCAAACTCTTGCTTGTTCAGGATGAGTGCAACGCTTCTCCAGGCTCAGGCGTTGCTCTTGCCCTGACCGGATGTGCAAGCGGCCAGACTCAAGTCGCGAGGATCTGAACAGAACATTCTGGAAAAAGTTCAGCCAGAGATGCTTACGACTGCACCTTAGCATACCGAATACCGAGGCCAAGGTACACCGCCATAGTGAACGAAGTGAATGTGGAACTGCTCGATGCTGCCTGACTCTTTCTAGAATCTTTGCTCTTCAGGCTCTGGGCCATCTTACAGCTTCCTAGCTTCATAACCCAAAAGAAAGGGGGGGGTTCTCGGAAGAGCAAGCTGCGATGGTGCATTGGGTTCACAATCAGTGCGCAGCCGCTGCCCCCACAGCGCCCATGCGCGGCGTCCATGCCGGCATTGTAGTAGCCCACCTTAGAACCGTCGACGTTGTGGGCTGTGACTTGGGCCCCTCATGTTGCGGGTTCCTGGGAGGGGGCCAAGAACTGCAGACCGTGCTGCGTTGCCGCCATTGATATCTTCGACGCCTCGGCCACGGCCCCACATCTTGTCGCCACCTCCCAGGCACGACAAGCTTCCTCATTGGAAACAACTGCCCAAATTAGCCTGTCTTCTTGCGAGGCAGTACGTAGGCATAGACACAGACGGAATCGCAAAAGCAGACCGAGCAAACGGAGTCTCTGGCCTGACAGTAGTAATGGCAATGGGGTAGAATTCAAGCACAGGAAGAAAGATACTAGCAGTAACAAATAATAATGAGATGAAGTAGTTATGATGACTACCGAACTCGCCTTGGGCCCATCCACCCCAGGCGCTTTGCGCACCGAGCTGATCCCCTTCGGGATCCAACTCGACGGTGGTTTCGTTGAGCTCGGAGTCCTTTGCGATTTGGGAACGTGCCAGAACCCCAGAACACGAATCCCAAGACAAAGGCGATGCAGCCTCTGAGGCAAGTCATGTTAGCAGAATCATGACTGGAGGGCTTGTTGGGTGGCCAAGGCCGCGTAGGATAGTAGGGTTTCGCACTCTGGGCATCCAGCTTGGTCGGCAGACTCAGTGTTGCCTGTCGACGGTGGCAGGGTGGGCAAGGATTCGGTCTTGCACCAGGGACCCTACGGTCCTATGCGATGCAAATGATGACGTTCGTCGCTTCAAGGGTGAAATCTGATGGTTCAGGAGCGAGGCTTCGCGGTTGAAGGACCGCTTTGCTGTGCAGGTCTTCGTTTCCCATATCATGACTTGGGATTCAAAAGCCAAAGCATGCAGAGTAAGCCTGGCCTTGCAGCTGCAGAGCATTCAGGGCGCAGTGTCCATCTGCACACTCCTGGGTCGGTGCTCCAAAAACCCAGACTGCTCAAGCTCTCAGATCCCATCTAGACTTGCCGAATTGCCGGTGGAGAGTGCACGATGTGTTTGCATGTCGTTATACATATGCCTGCAATCATGTAGACAGCGGGACAAAGACAGAGAGCGAGAGAGAGAGAGAGAGATATGTATGTATATATATACATATATATATATACATATATATATATATGTATGTATATATATGAATGACAAACGAATCGGATTGGCTTGCTTCGGTGCCAAAGCTCGTCGTCCATGGCCACAGCCGTCGTCACCTCGACAGTGCGGAGTGTGCAACCAAGGAAATGGTGCAGTCGCGGTGTCTTTAAGGCCTCTCAAGATTTGCCACTGCAGAAAGAAGGCCGGAGGCTTGAAACTTGAAACCCTGTTGCAGGAGGTGGTCATTTGCATGTGCCCGGCATCTGGCACAAAAAATCGTCATCAGGGGCACTAGCTATGTCTCAGGGTTTGGTCTAGTCTCTTTGAGGATGCTCTTCTCTGTCTCTTTGCTTTACTCAGGAGCCCAAGCCGTCTCAGGCTTTGCTTCAGCCGCTTTCAAAGACGTTGAGCTTTCGGGGTTTGCTCGAATCAATCTCAGCATTTGTGGGCCTGGTCTGAGAGCAAGGGCTCTGCTCCCGTCCCAGTTCTCAGTCTATCCGTGTCCTCTCAAGTAAACTCTGTCTCAGGTCTGCTCCCGTCCCTGTCTGCATTTCACGATCTGCTGAAGCTTTGCTAAAAGCGTAGCTTTGTCTCAAGGATCGCCCTCGTCCCTCTCAGGATTTGCTTGAGGGTTTCAGGGTGTTGGGTGCCGTTTCAGATGATCCCTACGACCGTCAAAGTACGTCAGTCAGGAATGTGCTGACGACGCAAGTGTTCTTGCCGTGGGACTGACTGTTCATGTTCGGTTGGCACAGCACATGAAGCCGAAGGTTCCCGGTACGTTTCCGAAGCTCGATGCCCCCTGCATGCCTCCTCAGAGGTGGCCGTGACCATGAACACTCCCATCGCCAGAAGCTTCGTCAAAATCGCCATGGCGATAAAACCGCTTGATCGCATGAACGAAGAGACAAGGGCTACGTGATCTCGGGCCGGAAAGGCGGCACATTCCAGAACATAAGCAGCGGCAGGAGCAGCAGCAGCAGCAACAGCAGCTACATGCTTCTCACCTCCACCCTCGTCGCCAGCACAAGCATCGCAAACACAACAGGCGCTGCGCCCTCAGGCACGGATTGAGCCCAGGCCTCTGCCACACTGCGGAAACGCATCGTCTGCGACATGCCTGCAGGTTCTCGATGAGACATACATAGTTCATCGCAACACAGATCCCGAGCAGCTCATGAACCCTCAGCCCTGTCTACTGCGGTTCAAACCGGAGGCGGAAATCATATCTCGGAAATCCTTGAAGCCACATTGCGCCACACGTTTTGTCCAGTCTAACCATAAGACTTGCAGTCCGGGTAGGAGCACTTGGAAGCTCAAAACAAACTCTAGTCCTGGCCGTGCCATCGGATGACCTCTGCCTTGGTTGCTAAAACTACTGTGTCGAGTTTCTCCCTTTTTGTGGTGGTGGCCCAAACCGCTGAACAAACAGCCCTCCGAGCACAGACTCTAGCAACACCCAGGCCTGGGTCCGCAAGACCTTGGGCGAACTGAGTCTCTCTTGTCGCTTCCCAACCTCCCTCGAGACCCCCAGGCACTGAGAGAGCTCAATTCCTGAGTGCGCTTAGGTTCGGGCCCCGAAGATGGGTCAGGTCGAGGTAGCAGGTCGGATCCGTTGTGTCGAGGAGACCGCCCTGGCTTGGGGCACATGCAGAGCAGGACCTAAGACTGCCAGCTTCAGCAGCTCTACATGTGAAGGCGACTTACCAGCCACTAAAGCGAAAAATCAGCAATGGATTGCCGGCGTACCGCACTCGTTATTCAGAGCTCGCCCTGTTCGGCAGCTAGGAGATGATACATCAGCATACGGTTCCGCAGCGGTGCCAACACCAGAATTCGAAGCAGTTGCTGCAGCAACCGCTGTTCCAATTCCATCTCGCTGAATGCTTTTAACATCGAACAACTCATTGAATTCTTGATGCTCCAGATCCTCGGCATGTTCAGGATCTGGGCCATGAAGAATGCAACTTGCGGTCATAAGATCCAACTGAGACGTGCTGTTCGCCACGTGGTTCATTGCCTCTTTTTACTCCTGGGCAAGCTCATTCTCGGATATCCAAGGCCACCTCAAACAGGCCAATCAACATCGGCACAAACTCTCGACGGTTCAAAAGCCCGATGACGTTGTTCACCATTTTGCAGTAGTGGACCAGAACTCCAAGTTGGTCGGCAACATCATTAGCCTTTGGAAAGTTTGTGCTCGCGCTGATTAGGTTAACTTTCGTCGGTGTGCAGTACACAGCAGTATACACTTCGTTGGGCATTTGTCACAGCATCAGGACTTCGGCTTCCCAGAAACCCCTCTTGGCCTAGGTCCTTCAGTGACCCCCAAAGTATATACTCTTCTCGGTTTGGCCGTAAGAGTTTTTTACCAGTAGTAGGAACCCACAAACCCACAAAAGAAAAAAGTAGCAAAGAGCCAAGCAAGGGAACCATCCAAGGCAACCCCCAACGAGGCTACAACACAGGCCTTCACAAGGCCAATCAGCATCAGCGGCTCAATAACGCGGTCACTTTGTTCACGCAATTACATGAATGATCGCAACGCCGTTCGTGTGGGCACGTCTGTGACTCCGGAGAAGGCTGTCGCCATGCAGAGGGTCAAGGTCCCTTTCAGGCCTTATTTTCCTGATCCTCATCAGCCAGGATCTGCAAAGGAGCGGCACCCTCACAGGCAAACTTGAAGCACCGTCATAGGTCATAGGTGCCTCGGACTTCAATGCCTCAACTGCGGTGGAGAGGCCCAATGCATGCGGCAAGGTGGACTTGAAGTCACGTAGGCACGATTGAAGAACATGCATGCACCGGTCTCTGCTCTGTTGTCCTTGGCCGACGAGGTAGGCTGAAGCGCAGATGCGGCGCCCACAACCCGACAAGCGCTTCAGATTTATGAATAGTTCCTGGAGATTTATAAATAGCTTCTGGAGTGTATGCTGCCGGAACAAGAAAACAAACTCAAGAGGCCGTTTCGTCGGCGGTAAGGTATGTTACAGAGTCGCTGCGGAGGTGCCTGTCAAGTCTTGTGCATGGGTCTGACTGCTCTCGATCTACAGGACATGAGGTCTTCACAGGAGCGCTTGCAGATGCCTCGACCCTGCCACAAGTCAAACAGAGTCAGAAAGCTGCATGGCTATAAACTCCCTTCAGCCCTCCATCGAGAAGGACCCTCAAGACCCCCCCAAGTCGGGGCGCACCCCGTTGTGGCAGGGCGCCGTCTGCTTCATTGGTCCGGCGCCTGATGCGCACAAACAGGTATCGTCTCCAGTGTCATTGTGTCTGTTAGTTGCCACTAGGAGCATCAGCTTCCATGCTCATGTGTCCATTCCTCCCGTTCCTGTTCTCTGCTGTGCATGGTTGCTCTATCTCGTTCCCTTCTTGTTCTTCCCAATGTGTTTCTCATTCCTCCGAACTGTTGCTCCTGCTATTTGTTGCTCCTGCTATTGCTACTGTACAGTACAAGTATTGTGGACCTTGTCCATATTGACATGGTTTTAGGACCATCACTGCCGTTGTGTTGCTGGCATCGCTCTTGACTTCGTGGATCATCATGTCACTCCACGTTGCTCTGTTATCTTCATTTCCACTGCTATCATCGCCATCGTCATCATCATCATCATCATCACCATCAACATCATCATCGCGATGATCGCTATCACTGTAATAACCGTCATCATCTTGTTATCGTCACCATCACCACCATCATCAAGACAATCACCATCATCGACCCCTTTCGTAAGGCCAACTTCCAAACCTGCCGGTCCAACATTTCACTTAGTGTGAACGTATTGCGACACAAGTGCGCGATCTACCTGTATGGACACCTTTACGTGCACATCACCATTCGGGCAGGTCACAGTAGAGGCCAGCTCCCTTGCCCGGGACCTTCAGACGGAATGCGGCGCAAAGACTCAGGCTCAGGTGCTTGGGTCGGGGTGGAACCCTCCGGAGGTCGGCAGCGCAGAAGGCTTCGTGCTGTCTCGAGGGCCTATGGATGAGGGACCCCGATCCTCCAGACCACGCTATGTGTGAAGAGGGCCTGCGTAACATCAAAATCAGCTTCGTCAGTAAGCCACGTGCCGCAATCGTCCGCTCGCGCTGACGGACGCCTCGCAGGATTGCATGCCAGGTGAGAATGACCACAAGCCCCAACCACGCATCTCAACATACTCAACTAAAAAAAGTTAGGCAAGAGCAAGGAAACACCCGAAAGCCCGGGGTGCAAGGAATCCGCCATCCTGTGTCCCGCATATGCACACGAAATGCCTTGATGTCTCCAGCCGAGCATCATTCCCCCCAGCCCGTGCACAGTCTAAACAGCCCGAGCGAAAGACTGGACAAGTCAACGGTCGTCAGCATCATGAGCATCAGCCAAGAAGCACTTGTTTCAGAGACCAGAGACGAGTTGCTGCAAAAGTCTGCACAGCTCCGGGAGACTGCTTTAGCGGATAGCGGATTCCGTCGTCTGCCTCAGCCGCACCTCCTTTTCGGCAGAAGTCTTCCACTGTAGCCGAAATGACTGCAACTCAGCTCGTTTCGGCATCTGGCATCTATTTGTTCCGGACGTGCCAAGCTCAGCCTGCCGGGCTGTGTGCGTCCCGCAGCGCTTCAACAAGATGCTCCCAACAGCCAGCATCACAGCCGGCTGTGTCAGAAAGAGGGCCTCAATACCCCCTCGCGGACCCGCGTCATGCCCATCAGCCGCCCCTCCATAAGCAGAATTCGCCACAAGGGCATGAACGAGAATCAGCCGCACGGAACCATGCCGTCTGCAGCGGACTGCTTCAACGAGGCCCCTGTTATGCATGGGGTCGCACGCTCGAACCCTGGCTTGCGCTCCCCGCTGTGCCTTCACATTGGCCGCTACAATCACTCCAGGATCTCCAGGACGAAAACCTGAGCCAGCTCGCAGAATTGAGGTTTTATAGTGGAAGTCGACACGGCAGCTTGACTGCCTTTGCCTTGATGTCTACCTCCTCTGTATGCGCTCCCTTGCGCACAGCTTGCTCACCGAAGTTTGAACTGCATATCTGGGGAAACATCTGGTCTCTGTTTTTTGTAATCGGCACTCAACCCTGATGTCCGTCCCTGAGCCCTGAGAATCAAATCAAAGCCATCTTAGTACGGAACCTCCCAAACTGTGCTAGCAGGCCACTTACAAGTTGCCGGCCCTCCTCAACCAACGCCCTGAAGCATCTCTGCATCCGCCCTGCCCGCCCTACGCCGTCCCAGGCCCCTGGGTGTCAGGTCCCCAAGCTCTTCAAGAAGACGTCTGAAAAGCAGCGAGGCCCTCCCAGGCTCCCGAGCACGCAGTCGACGCTGGGGATGCAGTGCACATGCTGATTGCAGAGCTTGGCTTCCTGAGTCGGGGCCCAGGGCTCAACTTGGGAGACCTGGGGCCTCGGGCCGGCTCACATGCTTGGGAGGCGGCGGGTTCTGGTAAAGACGACATCCACAAGATCTCAATGCCGCTTCGCCAAAACTCCAAAAGCACTTCCTGCAACAAGCCCCAAAGCCAGGCCTGGCAAATCCTGACTACTTCGAATCTGCAACCAACAACCAAATTATGGCTCGAGATACATGCGCGCACACACACCGAGGCAAACACGCACCGGCACAAGAATCACCCGTTTTCAAGAATATTCAGGAATGCTCCCTGAGTCCAAAACCCAACCTGATGCAAGAGAGTCCGAGATTAATGCCGCATCCGACGGCTCATCTGATATGTTCGAACAAGCTCAGCAGTTTTCGCTGGGCCAACACTACTACCTTGGGTTCAGGGTGACGACGGCAACGACCTGACAGAAGAGGACCGGAGCACTTTCTAGTTCGCCCAAGTCCGGGACCGAGCCATAGCCCGTAGCAGGAAGGCCACAGTCGTTCGCCTTCATTTTCAGCTCTGAGAAGTCCAGAAACCTATCATCCGAAGCAGTACCCCCCCCGGCATCGATTCGGACAGCTGACGGGTCGAACGCATCGAGGCGCCAACCAGGAGGAAGGCAAGCGATGTGCGAAAACCTGGAAAACCTGACCCGCAGGCGCCTCCACAGCGATATGTCGATGCCTCCACGTCTCCCCGCCCTCGCAGGTCGCTGAGCAAACCTGAGAGAACTTGCCTTGA